CACACACACACACACACACACACACACACACACACACACACACACACACACACACACACACACACACACACACACACATTGATTATTATGTAAAAAAAAAAGTATGCACTTGAGGGGTACGCGCAGCTCGCTCGACGTTTTTTATTGAGAAGAGATTACGATTCCTTGTTTCGTGTCCTCGAGCAGGAGTGCCGAAATGTGTAGTGTCTCGTTGTACTATTAATTGCTTTGCAAACACTACGAAGTGGGGGGGGGGTGCGTATCGCGCTGCTCCACAGCGGCCTGACCTGCAGTACTTCCTTATCAGAATGCGCATATCGCGGTGGGAAGTACGACACACTCTAGCGTCGCACCTGTGCGAACCTAGAGTTGTTTAAACAGTTGTTGTCGAGTTCAATAATAATTTCAGCGCGGTGATGACGATACTCACGATGAACGTACCTGTCCCCGCGAATGTTCTCTTGTTTCGAATATTTGTTCGAATGTTTCTCGATTGTTCCTCTGTTACCTACCGAATGTTCTCTTGTTTGACTTGTCTCCAAGATGTCGGAAGCCTTCGGCAGCGCGAGGTCGCATGAGTTAGGTATTTGTTAGCAGAATTATTGGGGCTAGAGCCAGTAAATTAGGCATGCGTGCATAAAACTAGTCAAAATTACTTCAGTTAGTTCAAATTAATAATTTGAGTTAGAAATTAATTCAAAAGACTGCTATTCGTCTTTGCCATCGTGAGGAGACTGTTGAGATGGCTTTATTACTATTAAGTACTGCATCTCCGTCTGTATGCCATCGACTGATTATTCTAAGACCACCAGAGTCTGTCTCTGAGCTATCGTATTATATTACGGTACCACTCACCTCAGTCTATAGACTCAGTTTCTGCTCTCGGTGCCAGCGTTAGATATCAGCGTTAGTATCTGCTCTCAGCGTCAGCGTCTGATAACAGCGTCAGCGCCTGATAACGGCGTCAGCGTCTGATAACAGCGTTAGCGTCTGATAACGGCGTCAGCGTCTGATAACAGCGTCAGCGTCTGCTAACAGCGTCAGAATCTGCTATCAGCGTCAGGGTCTGCTATATCAGCGTCAGGGTCTGCTATCAGCGTCAGGGTCTGCTATCAGCATCAGGGTCTGGTAACAGCGTGAGCGTCAGCTGTCATCGTCTGCGATCAGCGTCAGCGTCTGCTGTGCACTCTCTCTCCGTCTCGCGCGCGCATTCTGCAGGTCGCTATAGCTCGGCTTGCGCTGACTGCGTATGGACGCGCGTGCAGCGGCTAATGCAATTTTAATCGATTCGTAAGTGATGCGCGTTACCCAGCGTTTACAACGAATTAGGTAGGCGTGCGTCCGCGAGGACTGGTCGCGTCCTGCCTTGCGTTTACCACGAATCACGCGTGAGTCCCCCGTCATGACTAGGACCCGCATTACCAGGTGTTACAACGATTCACGCGTGAGCCCCCCGTCATGACTAGAACCCGCATTACCATGTGTTACAACGAATCACGCGTGAGCCCCCCGTCATGACTAGGACCCGCATTACCAGGTGTTACAACGAATCACGCGTGAGCCCCCCGTCATGACTAGGACCCGCATAACCAGGTGTTACAACGATTCACGCGTGAGCCCCCCGTCATGACTAGAACCCGCATTACTAGGTGTTACTACGAATCACGCGTGAGTCTGTGAACACTGAACCCTTCTGTGCCTCCTTCTCCCGTGTGCATAGACTGTGCTATTCACAGAGGCTGACTAGCGTGCAAGTAGGCACGTGAGTGTAATCATACGAGAGGCGGATCAATGAAGGCGGATGTGAAGATGGAGTGCCCGTCTAGTTTGTTTTTTTCATTTGTTGTGCGGTTGCTTTAAGTTAGCGCCTGTTTTTTAGCGTTGATTTTTCGGCAATGACTCGACGTGCGCTTGTTGTGCTTGCGCAGGCGCAGATTTTTCTGATGTTGTGTTAGAACGGTGCGTGTGCCCATGCTGTCGGCCGTTCGCAGGCGAGTTCGTGTTACGTTCACACGAAAATAGGTTCAAAATGCAGGTTGCAAGATATCAAATAGCGCAAATGTCTAAATTGTCTGTAGTCATCACTTATGGCGTAAGCAATTGCGAATTAGTCAACTGCGCTGTCTGTCTCTCCACTTTTCTCTTTCTCCTCTACTGCTTCTCCGCGCTCGGCTCGCTCTCTCTTCTCTCTCATCTCTGCTCTCTTCTCTCTCTCTCTCTTCCTCTCTCTCTCTTCTCTCTCTCTCTCTCTCTCTCTCTCTCTTCTCTCTCTCTCTTCTTCTCTCTCTTCTCTCTCCTCTCTTCTCTCTCTCTCTCTCTCTCACTCCCCTATCTCGTCCCTCTCTTTGTTTCGTTTGTAATTCCCCTTCTTAACTGCTTTTCTCTTTTCTCTTTTCTTCTCTTTCTCTGCTGCGAATCATCTTTCGTCTGCTAATAGCACTTATCATTAGAATGAAGAAGTTGGATATATGATCCAATATTATAGTAGGGTATTTTATCTTCTTTTTTTATAATGTTCTTTATTTCCAGAAACATTACATTAATGTACATTACATTATATTATACGTTATACAGAATATCTACAACACTGTGATGGTTCAGTGATGGTACAAACAGGTAAATGGCATAAACAGTTTTACAAAGTAGTGCATATATGGCGTACTAATTATACTTCGTTACAAGAAGTTCATAAATGAAGTGTATTTTATCTTAGTAAACAAATTCATATGCCTTGCCAATTGTCTTATCATTCTCGCGTGAAATACGTGCGCTATACTTCAGCTAATTGCAATTATATGCATGTCCATTGCAACCTTTCGATTGCGAGCTGCGCTTCATCTTGGACCAAGGAGGGGTGTAACTTCCCGAGCGCGACAAAGCAGGTGGTGTGGTTGTTCGTCACTGGCCCGGCATACGGACAAGTATATTCTCGTTGTGGGCGTCGTGTGTGCGCTGCGTGCTGTGCGTTCGGTGTGCCGTGCGTGAGTTTTACGTGCGTGCGTGCCGTGAGTTCGTGAAGTGGCGTCGCGTGTAGACGCGAGACAAACTGTCTACAATCTACGCCTTGTAGCCATCGATGTTTCGTGTACTTTGTGTGTGTGTGTGTGTGTGTGTGTGTGTGTGTGTTGTGTGTGTGGGTGGGTGTTGTGTGTGCGTGCGTCGTAGCGTGCGTGCGTGCGTGCGTAGCGTGCGTGCGTGGGCGTGCGTGCGTGCGTGCCGTGCGTGGCGATGCGTTGCGTGCGTGCGTAGGTGCGTGCCGTGCGTGCCGTGCGCGCGTCGCGTGCGTGCGTGCGTGCGTGCGTGCGGCTTGCATGATGCGTGCGTGCGTGCGTTGCGTGCGTGCGTGCGTGAGTGCGTGCGCTCGCCGTGCGTGCGTGCGTCGTGTGTGCGCGTCGCGGCGCCCGTGCCGTGCGTGGCATGCGTTCGTCGCAGCATTAGCCATGCGTTTACAGCAGTTCTGCGTGTGCATCGGCACAACCGTCCACTGGAACGCGTAACATGAACTCGCCAATTACAACACACGAGATCTAGGATCAAGTAAATCTACGTAGCTACATAATATAATATAACATAATATAAACACGGGCGTGCATCGCTCGATTTCTTGATTTTGCCGCGCGCACGGTTTCTTTGCCAGGGAAGTGTGTTGCGTGAACACGCGTTGATTGCTAACCCGCCGTCGTTTCTGGATCGGTTGGTTGTCTCACGGATTCATCAATCAATGTCAATCATCGATCATGTAATCAATTTTAGCCAATCTTCGTCTAAAACGGTGGTCACGGCAAGGAAGCGCAGCGCGATTATTGAATTTGCACACACGCTTCCGTAAAACGTCACGGCCACGGGGTCGTCCTTGCGTGCTCTAATATTGTTAAACACAACGCTTCTGCTGTTATTCTGCTGTTCAAATATGGTTATGCGCAGTTTGAATGCACTTCAGCCGTGTAATTTGCTGTTCATACAGTGTTTACCCAAAATATTTTCAGTTACGCTGATATATAGTATATATAATATAAGGTACTATATATATATATATATTATATATTTGTCTTCATTAACTCCTGATATTGTGTGTGTGTGTGTGTGCGTGGCGTGCGGGCGTGCAGTGCGTGCATGCGTGCGTGTGTGCGTGAGTGCGTGCGTGCGTGGCCGTGCGTGCGTGGCGTGTGAGTCGCATCAGCACCCTGTTTTTACCAATCGACCTTTCTGTTTTTGTTGACACTGTTTCTGTTTCTTGTTTGGGGGCAGAGGGCTGTTTCTTGCACTGAGGCAGAAGATTTGGCAGCTTCACCTTAGGGGGCGATGTTGACCCGGTAAAGGTATCGAGGCAGTGTTCATCTGTCTGTTTGATTCTCGCTCGTTTCCCTCTCTCGCATGCTCCTCTCTACTCTCTCTCTCGTCATCTCTAAGTCTCCTCTGCCTCTCTCTCTCTCTCTCTGCTCTTCTGCTCATCTGCTCTCTCTCTGCTCTGTGTGTGTCTCTCTCTCTCTCTCTCTCTCTCTCTCTCTCGTCTCTCTCTCTCTCTCTCTCTCTCTCTCTCTCTACTCTCTCCTCTCTCTCTCTCTCTCTCTCTCTGTTCCTCTCTCTGTCTCTCTCTACTCTCTCTCGTCTCTCATGCGCGCTCGTCTCTGCTCGTCTTCTCTCTCCCTCTCTAATGTCTTTGCTATAATCCAGCTGGACTAATATTTAGAGATTATTTTCTCTCTTGATTATATGTCTTATGATCTTATGATTTATGAATAAAGATTTATAGATCGCTTTATATGATAATTTTGTCATTGGTCACGAATCATATGTTTCGCTGTTAATAAATACTAGTAAAGTCCCGCATAGCTAGAGGCCGCAACTATTGTTAAAAAATCTATCCGTAATGTAATTATGGAAAAATAGTGAAACAGCAATGCGTGCAGGATGAGCGTGAAATTGGGAAAATGAGGAGTTTTTACATATAGAAGATTCCACTC